CGTGGTGCTTAGTTGCTGGCTGGGGTTAAACCATGACAGGAACAAAAGCACATTAGAGAGAGGCCTTGTGGCACAATGAAAGTCTCCATAACCTCGGATGAAAGGAGCTTTGCAGGAGAGGAGAGGGGCAGCGCGGACCCCACTCACTTCCTTCACCGCCCTCGCCAGTGACAGATGTGTCAGAGCAAATGCATGTGTACCCCATCCACTGCCAAGGCAGAAGGGAGGGGATGAACAAATAACTCATTAGAGACCCAACAAGGAACACTGACCTCTCTATTTTGTGCTAATGGACCACCTCGGGAGGCTCCGCACAACTGGGGATACACAAGATCTCCCTTTCTTTCTGTGTCACCTGAGCCATCATTGGTTGCTAATCCCTGATGCGGTCACCCAGCCCTACCACCTGCTGGGGAAGGCGAGGGGGAAGTGGTTCAGCACCTCTGCCTGCTCTTGCTCTCCAGCCAGGGAAGCAATTCTCCCCTGCAAGGCTGCGCACAAACGAATGCCTCCCCAGACCTGCCGTGGGGATACATGGGGGAAAAACAGATCTCCAAAATGCACCCAGGAGGCAGAGGGACAAATCAGAGCTGCAGTGGGCCATGGGGGTGAGGAACCTTCTGGGGTGATGGGAACAGGTCTGCACAGACTCTGTGATCCCTCCTCCTCTCCCTGACCCATGTCCCATGGATCAGCTACCACTGAGTAGGGGACAGGAGCCAGCACAGAGCTGTAAGTACGGGAGATGCTGCCTAGCAGAGTGAAAGTGGGACCAGGGAAACTGGGAGACCCTTGCCTAGTGCAGGAGCACTGACAGGTCTGGAAGAGACATTTCAAGCTGTAGCAGGTGCCTGACAAATGCTGCCAGTACTAAATCATCACTGAGCTCTCCTCCCACCCCAGGACTCTCTTCTCTGTAATGACATCCAGATCCTGGGACAACTCTTCTAAATAGATGTGGAGGTTGTGTACCTTCTCCCTGATGGGCAGTAGCCTGCAAGACCTCTAAGAGGCTTTACTTTTGACTCTTGGATGAGACTGGGAGAGCCTACAAGGACAAAGGTCCAAATCCAGCACCCTGGCACTTCCCTATCCCTTGACACCCTGTTTAAGCAGGTAGCCGAGCCAGACATCCCTGGGAGGCATCAAGGTGGAGGTGTGGGACAGAAGAAGAGTTGCATGTAAGCCATAAGCCACCGAGAGCAGAAGGAACCACAGATGGAACCCAGAACGGTATGGGTGGGAGGACACAGATTACCTTTCCAGCATCTCTGGCCACATCATCACTGGAGGAACTACTCTCTGGCTTCTTCACTGTCTTCTTTTCTTCATGTTTCTCTTCTTCAGAAGAGACTTCGTTGTCACTGATATTGCTAGCCAACTCCTCCAGCTTCCTCTTCAATTCCTCCTCCTCAGCATTGGGATCAAGTTGGGACTCTGGGGCTGGAGTCTGAAGGAGCATAAGAAGGTAGTTGTGTAAGAGTCTCCTGAGGTTGACAGTGGGGCATGCCTGGGTCCAGACACACTCACCAAGACTGGCTAGCAGAGGAGCTCAAGGAATGCTACCACAGATGGACTTCGCAAAGGGGACTTCAAGCCCCCTCTCCACACCCATTTTCACAAGGGGCAACCAGACTGCCCAGGGGAGCAGCAGAGCCCAGCAAGCTGCACTCCAGCTCCATGCTGAGGAATACAAACTATTGATCTAAAGAACCTCCCATCTGTTTTTCCTAGATGCAGAACCTGCTTGTTTTTCCCTGTGCAACATTGCCTTCCCCAACCCCCAACCCAAAAAAAAAGTTGTGCATGGGGGATTTGTGGCCAAAAATCACCTTATTTTCATTGGGAATCACAGCAACCCAAAGACATGGTCCACCAAGGCGAGGGAAGCAGCCACAGAGCCTCTAGGTTATCTTATTTGCAATGAGAAAAGACGCAGCAAATTTTCCTGCAGAATAGGTGGTATATTTCCACCCAGCCCTGTTATTAGGTGCAATTCATGGTACTTGCAGAAGAATCCTTTTAAACTCCCAGGTGCTGGAAGGGATCTTCAGAAATTACTGAACTCGCTGTCCCTTGTGTTAAGATGGGAATACAACTATCTGTGTCATACCTGATGGGTTTTTGTCTAAGATGTTCTTAATGACCTTGAACAATGGCATCTGCAGCAGGCAATCTTTCCCCCAGGCAACTTGTCCCCGGGCTCCGTTATCATTTCTGCTAGAAAGCTTTTCTTAATAGTTAAGCCAAACCTGTCCTGTAGCAATTTAAACCCATTGCCTCTACTCTGATCTGCCCTAGACATGGGAACAAAGCATGGGAACCTGCAAACATGCATGTCTCCTACTCCCTTGGTCAGATTTACTGACAGAAACACTGAATGGTTACAGACATGGCCATCCCCATTACGAATTTTAGAAAAAAGAAGAAATTGTGTTGTGTCATCTACATCTAGGTAGATCCTCTGTGATTATCACTGTCTGTTCTACCAAGTCATCAGCCGCCAGAGCAGCTCGTGGTGATGGGTTCACATGAAGGAAAAGAAGAGTACGTGGTCTAAAATTAGAAACCCCAAATCAGTGTCAAGTGACCTAAGTATTCACAGAGTTTACATCACTGCCCAGGTTTAACTTAATTTAGCTGTTTGCTTCCAGCTTGATGGCATGGTAAGACAAGGGCAGCTCAGAAGAGATACAGCAATCCTTCTTGACTCGGATGTCATATTCACAATAACCAGGTGACTTCCTCATAAGTACTAACTGATGCTCCCATGACTTCAAATGAGCCATCACAGCTCTGTGGATGTACCGACACACACTTAACAATACTCCTGAAATTAGCATTTCATAGAGTTTCAACCTGAAACCCAATTTTCCTTGTGGAGAAGGGGCAAGGAAGACGCTAGCTTGCATGGGCGCCTAAATGGCATAGGTTAAATTTGCTTCTGTTTCTGTCCTGCCATGCAATGTTTTTAAAGGCACTCCATAATCTGAACCTAGAGAAGAGCCTCCAAGGCCAAAACAGAGGATTAAAATCAAACAACCTGAGCCATTTTGTCTATCTGGCTTTCTCCTGCAATGTTGGCTGTTTCAGAGCAGCCCCTCTGGTGACAAGAGCAAGGGACCAGCACAGCCCATGCTCTCTCCCTGCAGAGAGAGTGCCCCAGCTTTGCACAGTTACCTCATCAGAGCGCACCAGGATTTTTTCCTCCAAGCGGTTCAGCATGCGTTCGATTGCGGACATGCGTTTGTTGAGCTCATGAATCTAGAGGAAAGGAGAGAGAGAGAAAAGGAGTAGAGAACAGACCCGCCACCGCTGCCAGGACAGTGAGAAAACAGTACAACCAGCAGAAGAAAGCAAGGAGCAAGTGGGTTAAGCTAAAAGACATTAAAAAATGGCCCTGGATACCCTGAAGAGCTCCAGGAGGTGCACGGCCTCTCCTCGAACCTCGAAAACTGAAAGTGATGCTGAGTACCCAGCACACTCCAATTCCCACCGAAGCATCAGTAGCAGTGAGCATAAAACCGCATCACTGACCCCTTGTCCAGACAAAAGCAGCAGGCTGTAAGAAAGCCCTCTATCTTGTCATTATTTGCATGCTGCCCCAAATTCAAGTCAACATCAATTTTCACTTCCTACTAACACATTTTTCCAGCAGCTACTACCTCATCATCCCCCTGCCAATACAGCACTGGAAAGGAAGAGGGAAGAAGCTAAGAATTTCCCATGAAAAGTTCCAGATGGAAAAACTAAAACTGAAAGATTTCCCTAACACACTTCAAATTTTTCTGACTTCTCCATACATTGATTTACCAAGATGCTTGCCCCTCTTTTCTCCCTTACACTTCCAACTAAAAAAAGGGGCATGAAAGAAGAGAAGAGAAGAGAAGAGAAGAGAAGAGAAGAGAAGAGAAGAGAAGAGAAGAGAAGAGAAGAGAAGAGAAGAGAAGAGGACAGACAAAATCCTGAAAATCAAAGAAAAGGTGCTTTCTATGCTCATGAGCCAAGACAAACCTTTGTGGTTAAATCACTGAAAACATTAAAGGAAGCTTTTTTTTTTCCTTTTAGAAATCAAAGTTTTGCTTTCTTTTTTTTTTTTAAAAGAAAGTCTTTCTCCTTTGATCCAAACAAATAAAACACAAATGATGAGAAATATTGCCCATTTTGTAACACTACCTCCCACATCACTGCTGTTCTGAGCCGCTGACTCCCATTCAAAGGGGAACGAGCAGCAAATGGAGTAAGTAAATGCAGTAACAAAGAGATGCGAGGGCTTGGCTTTGTTTTTATAACATTTTCATTCTCTCACTTAGTTTTTGTGCTTGCTTATGTTCAGTTAATTAGATCCTCACAAGAGCTTGAAGAGATTGCGTCAGCTTAAGGGAAGATGCATATAAAAACCTGACACTCTGGAGAACAGAGTGCTGTAATTACCGTCCCAAACAGAATGCATCTTTAAACAACATTAAACCCACAGGCAGGAAGCAATCCAATCCATCTCTAAGTGGTTTCTCGGTACTGTTGAAGGTCTGACTCCTGGTGACAATGAGGACTCTGTGATGGGCCATCAGCTTCAGAGGAAGAGATGGTGACAAACTGAGCACCCAGCAGCACTGTGCCACCATAACACAGAGGTTCAGAGAGGTCAGAGCGTAATGCATGGTCTGCTGTTGATGGGCTACAAGGATAGGAGCTGAAGAGCTTGCTTTTGTTCTCCTTTCCCAAGCAAGGCTGGATTTAATGCATGGTGGTCACCCCATTAGCGTGCATCCTCATCAGGGGCTGGACCACCCTACACTGCTCTCCACCAGACGAAGGCTGGCAAATGCTGCTCTGTATTAAAACATTTAAAGTGAAGAAACTTAAAACACAGCCCACAAGGAGGACATCAGTTAGGGCAAACTGTTACTTGCTGCTGGGGAGGGAAGACAGGTTGCTCTAGCAGAGGTGCTGCCTCCAGTCTCTCAAATACCTAAGACCTGTAACAAACGCTTTATGTAAAGAAGAGGAGCCAGATGGCATCAAAGCTTCAGGAATCCAGAACCACTGAGCTCCCTTGAGGTACAGCAGAACAGCTTTCGGGGAGAAACTTGGTAAATTGGTGCTATTCCTTATTCCTTGTGGCTTGGTCCTGTTCCTACCTGGCTTCTAAAGACTTAAAGGCAAAGACCTGCACAGTTACCAATTCAGGGCTTCTTTTCATGTCTCATCAGGTTTAAGAACTTTTTCTAATAGTGGAGGGTTTTTTAAAATTTTGTTCTAGCACCTTCAGCTCCTGGAGTCACAGAGCTTGGGAACAGCCTCTGCTTTTGTTACTGGAAAAGTTAAGTTTCTTGTGTTTGGGCCTGAACAGTGTATCATCTCCAGAATTAAAGCAAAAGCGATTTTCAGATCAAACATATTTTGACAAACGTGCACCTAAGGCAGTTTTAGGAAAGAGGGTTTTCATCTGTGGGGTCAAAGTGATGCAGAGCAAAGACTTGAGCTCTCTACCTCTTGAAACCTTCAGATGCCAACAAGGTGTCTACCAGGAAAACATTGCTTTTGAAGCCAGGCTAGGGGATCCAATACAGGATTAATGGGGGTTAACAAACATGCTTCTGGACCCTACACCCCACAGGCAAACATTTTGATTTGCCAAAGGGCACAGCCTCTGAGAAGTGCCACGCCAGGGTGACCAGTTGTACTCAGCCATCCTTGCTGTTCCCCACAATGTCCCATGAAGGGCTGGGATACCCTGATGATGGTTACATGACAAACCCTGGAACTGCCTGTAAGCAGCTCAAGAGCCACCATTTTGCTGCTCAGGACAATGCAGTCTGCTGCTCACTGTCCCAAATCTGCCTGCCCAAATCCCCTGTCTCTGCCCTCTTCTCTGCCCTCAGCCCCTCCATCTCCTCCAACCTCAGGACAAGAGGATGGACAGCAGCCTCTTCTGAACTTCTTCCAGCTCTGCTAATACAACAGAGCTGGCTAGCAATGAAAACTGGATGTTCTTGTCTTCTCTCCTCTTTGGGTTTGCACCTGGCCTCTTCTTTGCCAACAGCGACAGTGATGCATGCGTGCATCATTCTGAAGTTAATGGTCCAGCACAGAGCCGTCTCTCTTCCTGCTGGTGGAGGAGAAGGATCTGCGGGAGGGTGGTTGCTAGCTGTAAACCCATCAGCAGCACAAAGGGCAGGAAGGATGAAGAGCTATTTAAGCTAATGAACAATGTTGGCATAAGAGCAAATGGGGATAAATTGGGAGTGAGAAGATGTCTCGTAACCATTAGAGTGACAAGGCTCCACAGCAGCCTTCGTACTGGTGTGATGGAGCAAACCACAATGCAACCTGGACTGCCCTGAAGCGAGAGCTCGCCCAGCTGATGAAGGAAGTAATCTGAAGCGTTGGTAGAAATCTGGCCCCATTTCCCTACTGCAAAGCACAGTGCACATTTCATGCCTAATGTACTGTGGCCTCATTAAGGACACCCAGTCCAGGGTTCTTCCATTTACCACTGACTGAAAAAGGAATGGCATTTATTAATTAAAACATGTGCCAAGAGAAGTAAAAGGCTCCCTACACAGGCACATGAAGTGTGATGCCAAGGGATGGTTGTGGTTACAGATCCCCCCATCGATTACCCAAAGTGGGGTCCAGGATGTGAAAAATTACCAGCTGTGAGCAGAAACAAGCAGTGGGCTCTCCCCGTGTATCTGTGTAGTCAAACATCACCACACATTTTGCAGCTTAAGAGGTCTGAGGGTTGCTTTTTACCATTCCCACCACCCACCATTTGCAAAGGTGGAATCAGGAACTGCAGGTCCTTCCTTGCTTGACAATTAAAACACAAGTTTGCAGCTTTTTGACACCCTTCTCTAGACTGTTCCCCCTATTATCATCATTCAGGAGAGATACATGACAGGTCATCTTGACCCAGCCCTACTGGGGCAAGGAACACTACACACTGCAAAGGAAGAAAAGGATCTTGATGCTTATTAACTATCCCTCTCCAAACGTTGGTCTGATCATAAAGCACCAGCGCATTCAATTGAAGAAAGCCTTTTTGGGGACACAGAAAACCATAGGTAACTGGCAGATTAATAAGGACAGGCTGGAAAATTAACAGTGATGAAGGCAGGCTTGTTACTGCAACAGCCGCATGGGCAGAGCGAAGCATCAGTGCCTGTTTTTCTCTTTGCCATGGGTGTAAAAGTGGAAGGGCTGGAAGGAGGACCTGGGAGCAGCACGGAGCTCCAGAATACTTCTGTATTATCCCAACGGTGCAGAGAAAAGTCTATTCTTCCTCACCTTAATGAATGAAAGAGCCTTAAACGTACCTTCCCAGGTCTCAGCCCTGCTCCCATTTCACAACCACCTTGGCATAGAGGGCAGGACATGGCCTGGGCATTCATCTTGCTGGTGCCATGCAACCATGATGGGACACCTAGATGAGCCAGCTCCCAGGTCATCCCACAGGCTTGCTGTATTGCTCTGGCAATGCCAAGTGGCTGCACTTGCAGTTTCTTCAGTTCCTGAGCTGAAGAGGAGGACAGAGGGATTTCGAGTCTACAGAGATCTGGGATCCACTCTGCTGCCTCTTGGACCCACACATGGGAAGCATGGGCACCAAACTGCCCCATGCATCCTGGCTGGGAGACTACCTCGGTTTGCCACCACTGCTTCTCTTCGCCTTCTCCTCTCCTCCTCCTGCACCTCACAGATAACAAATGCCTTCTATGGCAAGAGAGGCTTGGCCACAGACTTGGTCTCACAAGAAGTTCAACAGCTGTTTGGTACCTGATTCCCAGAATGGCTGACATTGTCCTGGGAAGAGGCTCTGTTTCGGCATTTCATGTGATGGGGTGGGTAGGCAGGGAACTGGGCTCCCTTCACATCCTCATCAGAAGTGTCCATATCTGCAGAGTACCGGGACCGAGGTTGCTCGTTCCAGGGGCTGCCTTTGGAGAGAGAAGGCTTCAGCACAAAGGTACAAGAGATTCACACCCCTGAGTTACTTCCTAGACATTGGTTCTATCCTTAAGACAAGCAAATAATGAAGCACTTCTCCAAATCACCCTTTCTATCCTTTGGCAGGAGATGCTTCTGCGAGACAGACCAAGCTTAAGGATGGCTATGCTGGGCCAGGCTGCAGCTTATCCCACTGTGGCTGCAGAGCACCTAGCTCAGCAGGGTCCCACTGCTGACATAGCAGTGGGCACAAGGAGCATCGTCCTTGCTCTCTCACGCTCCAAACAGCCAGGCCCCTCACCAAAAACTGCTATTGCCCTCCCAATGTTTTTGGAGCACAGGTTCAGACGCTGCTCTTCATGTATTGTTCAGGTGCTGGAAGATGTTTATCTCAGACTAAAGAGGTACCAGTCTAGCACAGAGCATTTAAAAGAGTGGAATTTCTCCTTTTTAAAGGAGCACTTCAAATGGGATAAAAACAATGAGAGAAAATGGAATTAACAAGCCAGGGTGCCCTGCTGCTGTGTCTCTCCAGAAGGGCTCAGAGTAGGAATTTAAACAGCGCACAGTAAGGTTTATCCAGTGTTTCCTAGTGCCCTGAAAATCAAGCACTTGAAAATACAACCAAGCAGTTGGAGACCCAGAAGGATATATATATTCTACAGCTGCATGTGCACAAGCCAGTACCTAACCCTCCCGGCTCTGCTATCACAGCAGGAAAAACAATAGTAGTAAAAGGCAAATTCTGCACTGTCGTTTCCTAGGGTATTTATAGACTCATGAAACCACAAATCCTGCAGCCTGCCAGTGCACCCTGCCCAGCAGCAAGGATGCTACTTAGCAACCCCCAGTGCTTGCCTCCAGTTCTTGTCCAGTCTTACTCCAGTTCAAGTCCCCTTAAACCTCTAAAATGTCTGCACCTACAACATCCTTTGGCAAGGAGTTCAATTCATCTGTCACTGCCTGCAGGAGGAAATGCATCCCGTTGTTTCTAGTGTGGCTTCTAGTAGTGTCATTTGATTGTACCTTGTTCTTACTCTGGACAAGACCTCCAGATATAAAAGGGCTGGACACCTTAAGAACAACCCTTCTGGCTTTGAGAAATGAGTTTGCTGGGGACAAAACCAGCCCATTACAACCAAATAACTTCAGCTGATTCTCTAATGAAAAAAAAATCACTTTTGCAGATGGGTATTTTGTCTTGACACTCCAGCCTTTTAGTGGCTTTGAGGTTGTTCAAAAAAATCAAAGACATTTTCATTTTGGTCCAACTCTTGCAGCTGCTTTTCCCCAAGATACAAGAAGAGCCTGGCCAGAGGCACCTACCAGGTTTTACATTTCTTTCCAGGCTCCTTCTCCGTGAATTGACGGTGAGCTGAACCTCTGTACTGAAGTGCTGCTCCGGAGGGCTCATGCCAGGTCCTTGTTCCTGCAAGATGTGGTGGAAGACCAGATCTGCCTCTGCGATCCTGGACTCCTGGGAGGCATCTTCAGCTGAGTTGGGGAAATCTGGGAAGGACTGAGAGATGAGGATTGCTGCTGAGCAGCTGCCCGTGAGGTCTCCCTGCCTCTCCTGACCTTTGCTAACAGCTCCTAGCTTTATCCTCCAATACATGCATGGATTGACCTTTTATAATGCCAATTCCTAATAATCCATTTTAAAGCCTTATCTTGCTGAGGAACCCTGTGCAATACTTCTCATCACTGCCAGGGGGCACTGTTAATTTTTTCGAGAACTAGGCACAGGGTCCCTTCAGTTAGGCTGCAAAAAACTCTAGTCTTTTAAAACACGTTGCCCTTTTGCGTATTCAAACAACAGCCACCTTCTGCCCCTCAAATAATCTGCAACCAATAAATTCAATTTGGATGATCTCGACAGAGGCCAGCCCTCCCTAGACTCACGCTGAATTCTGCTGCATAAAGATGGGCTTAGATAAAGAATGAATCTATTTGTTAGTCCAAAATTCTTATCAATGTACACAGAATGGTGTGAATTGGGTTTTTTTTGTTTTTTAAAGCCTTTGTTACGCATCTCAGCACATCCTAGTTCTACCCAGGGGTACAGTTTAAAGTTTAAAGAAGCTTAATTTAAAAAAAAAAAATTATTTTTTTTAACTGAAGTCCGGGTGAAATTTCAACAGGAAAGGCAAACAGGAGTAGCCCAGAAAGCTTGATCTGAAGCATCTCAGGCTGGAAGATTTTTTGTTACATCCAGGGCATCCCCATCTGCATTGGTACCCAGAGGTGGAAAGTGGGAATGGCTGACCCCCAGCCCTCACTGTGATCACAGGGCACAGCTCACTGCAGTCACTTGTGCTGGAGCTGCCCATGGGTCCTGCTCCTGGTCAGGATCTCCTGACACTAAGACATGTGTAGTCTCCTATATAGACATAACCAGTGTTCATGCAGCTTTTGGTCTCCCTGTGTTCTCCCCTCTGACTGATGGGGACCCCCACCCTGCAGGTGCCATCCCTGCAGTCATGCTGGCTCTGCAGGATTAATCTTCTCAATCTCAGAAGGGTAGTGTGCCATGAAGTTGCCATCCAACTACATCCCCAGTGCCACCACATGGCAAAACCAGCCCCAAACTGTATGGGGTGATGGGAGAGGAGTCTGGCAACATTTCATAGAATCATTTAGGTTGGAAAAGACCTTTAAGATCATCAAGTCCAACTGTTAACCTAGCACTGCCAAGTCCACCACTAAACCATGTCCCTAAGCACCACATCTACATGTCTTTTAAACACCTCCGGGGATGGGGACTCAACCACTTCCCTGGGCAGCCTGTTCCAATGCTTGACAACCCTTTCCATGAAGACATTTTTCCTAATATCCAATCTAAGCATCCCCTGGTGCAACTTCAGACCATTTCCTCTTGTCCTATCACTAGTTACTTGGGAGAAGAGACTGACACCCACCTCACTACAACCTCCTTTCAAGTAGTTGTAGAGAGTGATAAGGTCTCCCCTCAGCCTCCTTTTCTCCAGGCTAAACAACCCCAGTTCCCTCAGCCACTCCTCACAGGACTTGTGCTCTAGACCCTTCACCAGCTTTGTTGCTCTTCTTTGGACACACTCCAGCACCTCAATGTCTTTCTTGTAGCGAGGGGCCCGAAACTGAACACAGTAGTCGACTTGCGGCCTCACCAGTGCTGAGTACAGGGAGGACAATCTAGTCCTGCTGGCCACACTATTCCTGAGACAGGCCAGGATGCTGTTGGCCTTCTTGGCCACCTGGGCACCCTGCCGGCTTGTATTTGGCCCTCTGTTGACCAACACCTGCAGGTCCTTTTCCACCAGGCACCAGCCACTCTTCCCCAAGCCTGTAGTGTTGCATGGGGTTGTTGTGACTGAAGTGGAGGACCCGGCACTTGGCCTTGTTGAACCTCATACAATTGGGCTTGGCCCATCAATCCAGCCTGTCCAGATCCCTCTGTAGATCCTTTCTACCCTCAAGCAGATCGACACTCCCACCCAACTTGGTGTCATCCACAAACTTACTGAGGGTGCACTCAATCCCCTTGTCCAGATCGTTGATAAAGATATTAAACAGAACCGGCCCCACTACTGAGCCCTGGCGACACCACTTGTGACCAGCCACCAACTGGATTTAACTCCATTCACCACAACCCTTTGGGCCTGGCCATCTGGCCAGTTTTTAACCCAGCAAAGTGTATGCCCATCCAAGCCATAAGCAGCCAGTTTCTCCAGGAGAATGCTGTGGGAGACAGTGTCAAAGGCTTTACGAAAGTCCAGGTAAACAACATCCACAGCCTTTCCTTCATCCACTAAGCGGGTCACCTTGTCGTAGAAGGAGATCAGATTATTCAAGCAGGACCTGCCTTTCATAAACCTATACTGACTGATCACCTTGTTGTGCCGTACATGCCACATGATGGCACTCAAGATGATCTGCTCCATAACCTTCCCTGGCACCAAGGTCAGACTGACAGTTCCCCAGATCCTCCTTCTGACCCTTCTTATAGATGGGCATCACATTTGCTAACCTCCAGGCAACTGGGACTTCCCCAGTTAGCCAGGACTGCTGATAAATGATTGAAAGTGGCTTGGTGAGCACTTCTGCCAGCTCCCTCAGTGCCCTTGGGTGGATTCCATCCAGCCCCATAGATTTGTGTGCATCTAAGTGGTGTAGCAGGTCACTAACCATTTCCTCTTGGATTACGGGGGCTTCATTGTGCTTCCTGTCCCTGTCTTCCAGCTCAGGGGGCTGGGTACCCTGAGAACAACTGGTCTGACTATTAAAGACTGAGGCAAAGAAGGCATTAAGTACCTCAGCCTTTTCCTCATCCTTTGTCACTATGTTTCCCCCCACATCCAATAAAGGATGGAGATTCTCCTTAGCCCTCCTTTTGTTGCTAATGTACTTATAGAAATATTTTTCATTGTCTTTTATGGCAGTAGCCAGATTAAGTTCTAGTTGGGCTTTGGCCCTTCTAATTTTCTCTCTGCATAACCTCATGACATTCTTGTAGTCCTCCTGAGTTGCCTGCCCCTTCTTCCAAAGGTCATAAACTCTCCTTTTTTTCCTGAGTTCCAGCCAAAGCTCTCTATTCATCTCTTGAATACTGAATCTCCAAAAGCTTGCTGGAAACTAGGGTGTCCCATAGCCTTGGGACAACACAAGAGAACTGTTGTCTGCAGAGAGCCTCTTTCTATCTCATCTTACCACTCATCCTTGCTTTGGTCAGATGTCCTACTCCTGACTCAGCCTTAGGCAAAGCACTTGAAATGAGAGAAGAAATAGCAAGTGGGGCTATGGGAAGTGAGGATCGGCAGCATCGCCTCTCAACACCAGCTGGAGGAGGAGGTAGCAGAGGTAGCAAGGAGGAAGAAGAGAAGAAAACAACCCCCCAGCACTCTCCCAGTACCTGGAAAGCATCCGGGCTGCTGGCTGCTGGAGAGAGCGGCACAGACTGGTGGCGAGACTGAGCAGAGTACTCTGAGTCCAGTTCAAAATCAAGGGGATGGACAGACAGCAGGCGCTTTGTCTTGCGCATCTTAGCATAGGAAGTGCAAGAAGGGAAAATTCAGCATAAACCACAGTTTACTTTGAAGAAAGGGGGAGGGAGGGCCCTTGTCTCCTTAGTTTGCCTGAGTTTGCACAGCCCAAAGCAAGGCTCTTACTTTTTGCAAAGAAAATTTGGGTCCAACGTGGTCCTGCTTGCAGGGAGCCAGATATATAGGGCAGTGTGTGCTTATGCTGGAGTTAAGGAAAAGTGAGTTCCTGATTTCCAGCCTCTGGCTCAGGACTGTGGCCATGAGCAGACAGTGAGACTCTCTTCCCTTGTTTATAAAGGCACTATGGGAAAGCTGGGCCAATTTACAGCTGAGAGTCCTGAAGCATCCCCCTGTCTCCTGAGAAAGTATGCTGTGGGCAGATCTCCCTGGATATCTGGGAGGTCATCAGCTGCCTTGGGGCAGGAGCAGCTTGGACAAGCCTCTAAGACTTCAGAAGTAGATCAAAATGAAGTAGCAAGTGTGTGAAATGCAGCATATACCTGTAGCTGCAGGTTGAAATGGTATGTATGTAACAACATGTATGTAACCGTACCAGCATTTCAAACAAACCGACAGATTTCACACATGCTTCAAGGACAAATAAACTTCCCATAAGGCTGCTTAATCTGCATTTCAATCCATACACACAGTCCCAGAAAAACAGAAGATAAATCAATGAACACAGCTGTGCTTTGCTACTCTACCAGGTATGTCTTCTTCTAGTAAAAAACCAAGTGGGTTCCCATTATATGGGTAGGAGCTGGTCTGTTTACATTAATTGGGGTCTTCCTGAGTGTCAGGAGCAGGTCTTTTTTCCAGAGGACAAGTATCTGTGATTTTACTGACTTGGCTGTTTCTACATAAACTGGGAGAGGGGCTCATCTCAGGAAAGGAAAACAGAGAGAAAGGCCCAGTTTTGAACATGGCACAGAAATCCACCACCACCACCCAAGACATGCCAGAAGCAGCTGAGGGCACAGAGTGAGGCAGAATGAAACGCTTACTCTGCTGTAGCACTCTGCTTCAGCTCCACAAAGGACATCGTCTTCGTCATTGCTTTCGTCCCCAATGCCACCACTGGTGAGGAGCTGGCATTCACCTGGAGGAGAGACAATGGTGCGCTGTGTATGGGCAGATCCTGCACCCTGTTCCTGCGGGAGGTAAGTTCTCACCGTGGTGGTCACACCTGTAGGTGAGGCCATGCTTCTTGTATGGGGTGAAAAGGTCCAGATTAGAAATACTTCCCCAAATTTTTTTTTTCTGTTTTAATTTTTTGCACACTACACCATGGCCAGTAGGTTGCACAAGTAAAGGGAAGGGGACAAAGGATGGGAAAGGGACAGGAACACATTAAGGTAGCCCCAATGCTGCAGCTGGCAAGCGGTGACCAGTCTAAGGTCTGTAGGCTAGAAGCTCTTTGGGGTACAGTTCGTAGGCAACAGTGCAGATATCCACCAGCAGCACTTGATCTTGTAAAATCTTGGCTGGCCTCTCATTGCTTCCCCTTCCAGCTGTGCACCAACACAGATGTGGAAGTGACCACTGCAGGAAGATGAAGGATGCCTGCACCACAGAGAGCACCCCAAGGTCCACCCAGGTGACTCCTGTGTTTGAAGGCACTACAACTCAGCCCAACACAGCTCTTCCTCTCCTGTTCCCAGTTCCCATCAGCCAGCTCTGCTATCTATCAGTGACCTGTTCCTTTTTGGGTCCCCATCTCTGTGCCCAGATCACTGCCAAGCCCAGTACAAATGCCAGACTGAGTCCAAAGTCAAGGCAGGCAAAATGTTTCCTCCTATATCAAATGGCAAGGTGGAGCAAATCCTTACTGCAAGGGCTCCTAAGGAATGCAAACTGAAGTCCCAAATTCAGTGGGTTCCTTAAGAATATGGCCAGCTTTAAGTGTATGACAAAGGTGCATTGAGATGATGAGGAGTACTTGCAAACTTCAAGCTTGGCACGTAATTAAAAGCCCTGTTGCATCCGAGTCTACCCTTGGAGACCCCAGGTGTGCTGCAGTGCAAGAGATGACCATCACAGCCCACCTCCACCACAGTGGGGAGGTGTCCTCCTCAGTCCAGCCACACCAAATCGCGCTGGAGTGCCCATAGCCGGAGGGTGTGAAGAGAAAAAGACATCAGAAACCTCTCTTGAACTGCAAGCCACATGCTGCAATTCTCTTTTTTACTTACTGTTAATGTCTGGCAGGCTGTAAACTCTGTCATGAAGACCTAAATGAAAAGAAAATTGGTGGGAAAAATAAACAAACACATTTTCTCTATGTACCTCGTGGACAACAAGCCTCAGAGCTATGGTTAACTAGAGTTCTCATTCTCTAGCCATCACAAGACGCAATCATCAAAAAGGCTCTTTGGACAGAACAAAGCAGACACTTTGGAGACAGAACTTGGCTTTTAAAAGTCAAAGAGCGTATTGCCACCCCTTCCACAGTCCTGATGCAACACCCTGCAGCCAGAGAGTGCAACAGCAAGGGAAGGCACAGCCAACAGCAGGCGGTCATGCAAAATGCAACGGTCTCACATCATTCTGCTGTATCTCCTGCAACCAAAGGTATGTCCCATAAGGAGGTTCTCACTTGTTCAAGGGTCAAGCCAATTCACCAGTGTTAATGAATTAATAACAACAAAATATTCCTTTTTCGAGAAAGACATCAGAATCTCAATTTTAACACTGTTATACTCATGTTTGGTTTAGTTTTCTCTAGGATTGCCCTTCCTGTGGGGTCTGATCCATTTTCAGACTGAACACTGCATAAATTGTCTCTCCGTCCATTAATTTTATATTCAATGCCACTACCCTGCACGCTCTTTCTGATATTTCTGCCATGAGTGGTCTGGATGGAAGAATGATTGGACCAGTTGAATCAGCTCATGTCTATCGTATTTGTGCAAACTTTTCTTTGGCTTCTCAAGATGGGAATAAAGTCCACATTGGTTTTCAAAGGCAATAGGCAAAGCAGTGCAGGAGCTGTATGAATGGCAACTAGCAGATACCCAGTAAATAATACTGTATTAACAACAGTCTTCAGCATATATTTATGCACTATTGGATCAATTTCAGAAATATTGAAGATCAATAAAGCTCTGAAGAACATATCTATGGGGACAGGTAACACTAATTTTGATACAATTTTGTCAATGTCAGAGCATCATCAGATTGGCTATAAAAATCATTAGATCATAGGAAAAAAATGAGCGTTGCCTCTATGCACCCACTGTTTTTTGGACCTGCAGGTTAAACTTGGGTTAATTTCACAAACTCTTCCCTGTGACAAAAAGAGCTAAAAGAAAGAAAAACAAGAGCTGCAACTCTTACACACTAACAAACTGCAGGACATGAGACTTTTAAAGCTAAGCATGAGATATTCTCAAATCTGAGGTAAAACCTTATACTTTAACAGAGGGAAAAAAATCCACCAAGAATATCTGCTCTGCTGCTCCCAGTATGAACACACCGCTTCGAACCTCTGCTTCCTCCCCAAAAATGTTTTGCACAATGTTGAAACCATGTGGCACTCAGAGCACCATCAATGCTGACGTTTCTCCCTTGGTGCACATCCCAACATGGTGCTGCACAGACGCCCCATGCACAGCAGGACAGGAGAAACCCCAGCACTCCTCCTTACCTAGAAATGTGGAGTTCACCCCCTGCCCCGGCTGCAGCCTGCCGTAGAGGGACTGCAGCACTTTGGCGCTCCCAAACCTCTTGAAACGGGTTCGCACGTGTTCGTAGTACCACTCCAGGGAACCGATCTTCACGATCCTGCCCAAAGAGAGGATGCACTACAGGTGAGCCAGTCCAGCCACACTCATAGTGACCAGACCCTCACCCAGAAACTGTCTCTTAACAAAAAACACAGCCTGTTTTTTAACCAGCATAATTGGTTTCTAACCAGCATAAAGGAATGCTGAGTCTGGGTGACTCTTCTTGAGCCTCAGCCCCAAGGCTTGCCTTGCCCCTCGCCTTCCACTGCAGGAGCTGTACCTGGAGAGGCGACAAGGATCACAGACCCAGCCTTGTTCCTTCTTGTTGTAGCGGCTGCAGTTCTTGCAGGTGTAGAATTGGCAGTCCAGTTTTAACTTGAAGGGCTGGAGGCAGTGGACGCAGTGGGTTTCGTTGAGGTGGGACTGATTCATCAGAAATTCTCTCTTGCTGCTCTCCTGGTTGATCTTGCATTTCAGCTCCCTGCAGAAAACATCCCAAAACTCAGGAACTTGGTTTTGTTAGCACTTCACTGCAAACTCTCACATGGCACACCCTGTCACACTTCCATCATTTCAGGAATGATTTTTTAGGGAACATCCTGAGTCCCGCAGCTTGTGGAAACAGTTGTAGGGCAAATCTAGTAAATAACATATCACAAGTTAAATAAGCTGAGCAAAGGCGGTGGCTCCAGATTCAGGACAAGTTTACTGTACATTAGGATCTGCCACTGTTAAATTTAAGATTAGATTTGCTTATGCCAAAACCTGTCCCATCTGCTTCGCAGGGTATTGATCATAAATCCCAGGAACCTCAGGAGAGCAGCTCTTGAAGTCTCATCTGCATCCCAACACAACATGATCTCTGAGCCTGAAGTCCAGCTGGGAATTAAAAGCTTTCTGGAATTTTCAGTTTAAAAAAAAAGCAATCTGAGATTAAAAAGGATTAAAAAGGGTTGTGATCTAGTCCTTCAGTGCTAAATTCAGCAGAGACTTTTATTAAGGGCAGAAGTGATGTGCAACGAGGCTGTTCAGAGCACAGCAGCTGGAGGAGATGCTCATGATGGTCCCATGAAAGCCCAGCCAACATGAGTGCTTTCCAAGAGCATCTTCTGGCAGCCCCTCACCACAGGCTTCCTTTGCTATCCAGACCCAGCTGTTAGAGCAGGAAGGTGCCTGCACAAGGCCAAACCCCCAGCAACAGCCAAGGCCAGCTAAAATGCCTGCGGAGCCAGCGGGGGCCCCCTGCGCTGCCCAAAGGCTTTCTGTTTGTTCCCTGTGCCACGTACTACCTCAGGTATGTTTACCTTTGGGGCTACGGCTGAGAGGCAATGTTTGACTTGTAGGCAATGTCCTAGAAGGTTGTTTTCTGCCTAGGCAGGGTTAGGAAGCTGCATTTCCCAGAACAGAAATCAGCCTGGGTCAAAAAACTCAAGTAATTAGGTTTGGAGGCTGCTTCAGGAACACGGCATGGAGCACAAGGCTTCTGGTGATTCTCCTGGTGCCCCCCAGCTGCTGGGGAGATGGGCTGATGCTGGGGTGACAACGGCAGGAGCCTTGCTGGCATGGCAGCGTGGTGCTGGGACGTCCACAGGGGCAGCGATGTGGCTGGTGGTGGGAATGACATGAATGTAAATCAAGCTAATCTCTTTTTAACCAAAACAGTTTGCACATTAGGCCAGCTTGCTGCCAGCACGCCAGGCTATGTTTGCTGTTACACTGGAGTGACACCAACTTGCATTAACCGAGGGTCTGGGACATGTAAAAATCAGTATAAAGACTGAACTGGGCACCTAGTTTTTATATTCAGCTATTCACCATCCTAGCAGTGTTTCGAATGACCTAGTGCAAATGTCCAGCAGTACATTTATATGTGGCTACTAAAAACAAACACCCAAATAGAAACCCCTTGGGTTGGGCTCAGTGCATCTTTTCCACCCCGTGCTCAGGCTGTTTCTAGCAGGATCCTAACTTTCACTGGACTGCTTTTTCTGGTTCCCAGAGACCGGTCGGATCCCTTCACCTCTCCTCCCTCACCCACGAGACCTGCTGAAAGAAGGACAAGCCTCAGCCAAACCAGTTTAAAACCTGTAGGAACCACATGCCTCTTGTCTCCTCTTGCTGGCAGGAGCAACAGCCAGCCCTTTCCCTACTCTACTCATGGCAGAATAAAACAGTGGTGGTGGGATGCCAAATAGCAGTGGGGTTGGTCCAGCTGAGCTCCAGGAAAGACACAGGGAGCTGTCCCCCAACAATGGGGTTGCTGGCAGGGATGTTTATGGAAGGAAGCAGGGAGAGCCCCCACAAAGTGGCCATTATTTAATTTCTTGGGCAAAGCATTACCCTTGCATGGTTGTGCAGTTTCTGGCTAGCTGAAGCCTTTGTCCGTTGTTGGTGAATATCTTCTGCCAAAAAGAAAATGCAAAGAAGCAGCAGAAAGGGAAGAAAAAGACCAAGCTGGGGGGGAACATTTCTTCAAGGCTTACAGGTTGAGACAAGCCCAGTGAATAGAAAAGCAAATGAATAAAAAAGTAAATGAGGGTGGTTAGAGCACAGGGAGCAGGGTGAATGGCTGCAGGGTCTCCCATAACCTCACATCATGTCCCAGCTTGTTACAGGTAGGAAACATTCACGTAGCTCCATGTCCAGCATGCAGGAGTGTGGCAGACTTTCCCAGACTGGTGGTCTGGTTTATGCCAGGTATTACAGAGATATCTGATGGATGGACTTGGCTATGGCTGAACCTGCAGAGAGAGGCAACCAAGCCTTGGACCAGGTAACATGGTCTACCCTAGAGACTTGGGCAGTGCCAGGCACTGCTGGGTTAATGCCAGCCCTCTGCAGGGCAGAGTTAAATGACAAATTTAAAAAAAAACGTCATGACTGCTGGGACAGAGGCAATGCTGCTTAGAGGAGACAGCAGCTGGGTAGAAGCATCCTGAGACCTTCCCCCTACCTTGCATACCCTCTCACACCTCCCATACCAGGGCACTCAATTTGGGAGCCTCCTGGACATCAGAGCAGACCTAGATAAGTCAGTCTGGCACCAAGGTCAAGTAGGTAAGGAATTCACCTCGCCCACTTCTTTGCTGTGGGGCACAGCAACGTGGGTCCCCACTTTCTTCCTACAGGCAGAGCTCAGATCCATCACAAGGGAAACATTCACCCTTTCCAGGGTGATAATTTTTTTAAACACCCTTGTCTGATCTCCATCCTGCACTTCAGAGCTACCAGCAGAGGAGGGCAGTAGGCAATGATACCGAATTATCTCTGCCTTCCACACAGGCTGGGTTTTCTGAGGCAAAAAAATCAGGAGGTTTAAAAATATGTGACCAAGAGCTTCTTGTGGCTAATGGTGTAAACGGAGAGAGTCCCATGCAGCCTTGCGTGGAAACACATGATGGCAAGCTTTTGGGGGATGCTTCAACAGCTCTGATGCAGATGTCCCAAATAAGGAAGGATGATTCTCACCCTGCACCTTTCTCATTGGATCTGATAGAGGAACCATCGAGATCCTGGTCCCTAGAACATCACCGCGCTGTTGGAACCAGCCCTGGCTCACAACATTTGGAGCTAGGGGGGTATGAGGGCTTGCTGGGGGTGCAGCACTGCCCAAACCCGGCCTGGGAGCTCAGGCCATCCCACTGGGATAATAATGAGAATGTGGCCAGACCCTGAACCAGGATGCTGCAGCTTCTTGAAATAAAGTTAAGAAATTATTAAGTTCAATGCCTGATGTAGGTGATGAACAAGGTCTGAAACCCCACCACTTCTCACGCTCAAAATTTAATCTAATCTGACTGAGCATTTTTATAAACAGCACTTTTATCAAATGCCCTGTACATCCATTTGCTGCTCCAGTGACTTTCAATCTTTTCCCAATCTGTGGCCCCTTAAAACTTTCCCAGAACAGCACGTCCCCCTGTATAGCCTATTTAAGGCTACTACAATAGGTTTACTACTCTTCTCAGTTATTTTTCCAGGATCTTTCAGGAGTCTGTGGACTCTCAGGACCCACTCAATCACTGAATACCCACCCTGTCCTAAACACACAAGAACCATCACATGAAACAAAAGCAAGGGAGCCAAATCCCGTCCTTTGCTCCAAGGCAAGGTCTCCCTGTGAGGGAGGCATCTCCAGAGAGGGGGCCAGATATCTGTCCCCATAAACTGCCGTAGTGACACCGATCTGCTTTGCTGCTTATGGCACGGTGCCAGTTTGCACCTTGGCAGCCCGAATGCGTCACCTCGCTGCTGATAATGTAATCTATTAACCACTGGTTTGATTTTAACAGCTAGGTCCTGGCCGCTCCTCCTCAATGTCTTGCTTTATTCCTACAACCCATATGCAACAGGACGTACAGGGATCTGCAGCTACGGCTTGCTTGCGCCCAGCCTCACAGACCAGAGAGCAGATACTCACTCCAGCCGTTCCTCCTCTTTTTTCCGCAGATCCAAGTCCCGTTGAACGACTTCCCAAACGTGCTTGGCCTCTTCATCGGTTAGCTTGGAGAGGTCCAGCTTCCTCCCCATCTCGTCCCGGCGAGTCGAACCCCGTCTCGTTACTCGCTAGCCCGATGCTCTTGCTCTCCCATACGCTGGGATGCTGGCAGGGGGGGAGAGCTCAGCCCTACCTCCGTGGCTGCCCACATGAACGGGCAGAGGCAGAGCTGCGGGCAGGCCAGCCGGCTCCTGGCAGCACTGCAGCTGATCTGCCAGGCGAGCCCGCCCGTGGAGATGGGCGTCGAGCCGGACTGGCGTGGCGCCTATCTGCTGCAGGGACTCCCGTCACCCGGGCAGGCAGCCCTGCCTTCCCCCGGGGTCCTGCCCAGAGCCGCAGGCAGCTCCAGACCTGGTCTGCCTGGCTGGGGTTAAAGGAGATGTTTACTCTCGAAGTAGCTGCCTGCTTTATGCAGGGTGCGCGAATCAAATTAAACCTTCAAACGCCTCCCCAGGGAAGGCAGGCCACCGGGTTTGGGAGGGGGCTGAGCATCCCCGGGAGGAGCTGTGCCTGCACACCCAGGGTACCGGCTCCATCAAGGTGGGTCCTGCCCTACCACCAGCTTCTGCTCCCCTGTTGCTCGCTCCCTGGCTTGCTCTTCTGTGTGTGATCTTGTTAAACTGATTTCCCCCCCTGCCAACAGCTTTGTCAGGAAAAATCAAGAGCATCTGGCTTCCCCCCAGCAGTACTGCCGTGCCGGCGACTGGCGTCCTGCATTTGCTAACTGCTCTCACAGCGATTCAGGAAGCTGAGCTTTGCCTGTAGCAAACAGCTTAATTAGGACACAGTGCTCCTCTCATTTGCAGTTAGCAAGAAAAGATGGTTTGACGGGATTTTAAGAAAAATGCTAAACATATCACATACTCAAAGGGATATATATTGCAATAATCCAACTACCAAAGCTGGTATCTTGTTCAGTAAAATGCTCTCTGTGTCTCTAAGCAGGAACTCCCCAGACCTTGGATATTAAAAGAAACCCATTTCTCATCTTCATCACAGCAAATACCAATACTAACCACACTATTTTTTCCCTGACAGGTATCTAAACAGAGAGCAAGACGGCAAGACTGAAGAGGAAAACTACTCTGCCTGGTGGGACCAGCCTCCCTGCTGCTCAGCCACTGTGCTTGCCCATGGGGTGCAGGGAATTATCCACTCCAGTAACTCACTTGAAAGAAAGGTTAGATTAAACTCTATGAACAGAGCCAGAAAAGGATTTTGAATCCAAACTTGGATTAATTTTATACAGAAAAGGTGATGATTACAGATGCAACGTTGAGCTTGGATATCAGGAATGTATGATCTCCATTGGAAGCCAGAAATTGATTTCTACCTCCTCTCCCAGCAGAGATGCAGTCCTGGCAAAAGCAATTAGTTTATTGGCAGGAGCCAGACATCAGTTGAGCTGCTCCTTACGTAAGTGTGTTTGAGAGCCTGTGCACGCCCTGTTGCATCCGAACAGTGGAGCGGGTCAATAGATACTAATTAACATCACAACGAGACCCTGTTCCAGGGCCTGTCAGTACAATCCCACCAGGAGCACTAACACTGGGGTTTGTGCTGCCTGGATCTGAATACGTTCTTCTTCAAAAGGATAATGAGATTGCATAAAATCAGGAAGATGTGGCCTGCTATGCCATGAAAATGTGAAAAATGCAAATGCTCAGCAGAGCCAACACCACCAAAAAGTGATGGTTTAGCCAGATGTCCTGGTTTCGGCTGGGATAGAGTTAATTTTCT